TTTCCACCATTCATCCAAGTTGTTTAAGCCCAGGTACGGGAACCCCTGGGGCTTATTCCCAGGTAAAGTAGCACAGGATTGCAGCCTAAGCAACTCTTGATGAGACCCATTAAATAAAAAATGGTGCTAAAAGAAAAATACTGCTTACTCTCTTACACGTTACATGAAAGTCAGCCCCATTGATTTCAGAGGGACTTGGTTCCAAGTAAGCATTATTCCCCCCCTTCATGGATCACTGCCTTGCTGTGGTGAAGGGGCTTGAACAACTCAGAGAAGCTATGCCGTGCAAGGCCACCCAAGATGGACAGGTCATAGTGGAGAGTTTTGACCAAACGTGATCCACCTGGAGCAGGAACCGGCAAGCCACTCCAGTATCCCTGCCAAGAAAACTCCATGGACAAAGACAACAGGCATATAAAAGTTATGACGCTGGAAGATGAGCCCCTCAGGTTGGAAGGCGTCCAACATGCTACTGAGGAAGAGCAGAGGACAAGTACAAGTAGATTCAGAGCTGATGAAGAGGCTGGGCCAAAGCCGAAAGGACGCTCAGTTGCGGATATGCCTGGAAGCAAAAGGAAAGTCCAATGCTGTAAAGAAAAATATTGCATAGGAACCTGGAATGTAAGAACCATGAACCTTGGTAAGTTGGATCTGGTCAAAAATGAGATGGCAAGAATAAATATTAACATCCTGGGCATCAGTGAACTAAAATGGACGGGAATGGGCGAATTCAGTTTGGATGACCATCATATCTACTACTGTGGGCAAGAATCCCGTAAAAGAAATGGAGTGGCCCTCACAGTCAACAAAAGAGTCTCAAAAGCTGTACTGGGATGCAATCTCAAAAATGATAGAATGATCTCGATACGAATCCAAGGCAGACCTTTTAACATCACAGTAATCCAAGTTTATGCACCAACCACTGGTGCTGAAGAAACTGAAATTGACCAAGTCTATGAAGACTTACAACACCTTATAGAAATGACACCAAAGAAGGATGTTCTTCTCATTATAGAGGATTGGAATGCTAAAGTAGGGAGTCAAGAGATAAAAGGAACAACTGGCAAGTTTGGCCTTGGAGTTCAAAACGAAGCAGGGCAAAGGCTAATAGAGTTCTGCCAAGAGAACAAGCTGGTCATCACAAACACTCTTTTCCAATAACACAAGAGACGACTCTACACATGGACATCACCAGATGGGCAACATCAAAATCAGATTGATTATATTCTCTGCAGCCAAAGATGGAGAAGCTCTATACAGTCAGCAAAAACAAGACCTGGAGCTGACTGTGGCTCAGATCATCAGCTTCTTATAGCAAAATTCAAGCTTAAACTGAAGAAAGTAGGAAAAACCACTGGGCCGGTAAGATACAATCTAAGTCAAATCCCTTATGAATACACAGTGGAAGTGAGGAACAGGTTTAAGGATTTAGATTTGGTGGACAGAGTGCCTGAAGAACTATGGATGGAGGCTCATAACATTATGCAGGAGGCAGCAACTAAAACCATCCCAATGAAAAGGAAATGCAAGAAAGCAAAGTGGCTGTCCAACGAGGCCTTACAAATAGCGGGGGAGAGAAGGCAAGCAAAATGCGAGGGAGATAGTGAAAGATACAGGAAATTGAATGCAGATTTCCAAAAAATAGCAAGTTGAGACAAGAAGGCCTTCTTAAACGAGCAATGCAAAGAAATAGAGGAAAACAATAGAATGGGAAAAACCAGAGATCTGTTCAAGAAAATTGGAGATATGAAAGGAACATTTCGTACAAAGATTTCCATAATAAAAGACAAAAGTGGAAAGGACCTAACAGAAGAAGAAGACATCAAGAAGAGGTGGCAAGAATACACAGAGGAACTATACCAGAAAGAAATGGATGTCTCATATACCCCAGGTAGTGTGGTTGCTGACCTTGAGCCAGACATCCTGGAGAGTGAAGTCAAATGGGCCTTAGAAAGCACTGCTAATAACAAGGCCAGTGGAAGTGATGGTATTCCAGCTGAACTATTTAAAATTTTAAAAGATGATGCTGTTAAAGTGCTACACTCAATATGCCAGCAAATTTGGAAAACTCAGCAGTGGCCTGAGGATTGGAGAAGATCAGTCTACATCCCAATCCCAAAGAAGGGAAGTGCCAAAGAATGCTCCAACTACCGCACAATTGCACTCATTTCACACGCTAGCAAGGTTATGCTTAAAATTCTACAAGGCAGGCTTAAGCAGTATGTGGACCGAGAACTCCCAGCAGTGCAAGCTGGATTTAGAAGAGGCAGAGGAACCAGAGACCAAATTGCAAACATGCGCTGGATTATGGAGAAAGCTAGAGAGTTCCAGAAAGACATCTACTTCTGCTTCATTGACTATGCAAAAGCCTTTGACTGTGTCGACCACAGCAAACTATGGCAAGTACTTAAAGAAATGGGAGTGCCTGATCACCTCATCTGTCTCCTGAGAAATCTCTATGTGGGACAAGAAGCTACAGTTAGAACTGGATATGGAACAACTGATTGGTTCAAAATTGGGAAAGCAGTACGGCAAGGCTGTATATTGTCTCCCTGCTTATTTAACTTATATGCAGAATTCATCATGCGAAAGGCTGGGCTGGATGAATCCCAAACCGGAATTAAGATTGCCGGAAGAAATATCAACAACCTCAGATATGCAGATGACACAACCTTGATGGCAGAAAGTGAGGAGGAATTAAAGAACCTTTTAATGAGGGTGAAAGAGGAGAGCGCAAAATATGGTCTGAAGCTCAACATCAAAAAACGAAGATCATGGCCACTGGTCCCATCACCTCCTGGCAAATAGAAGGGGAAGAAATGGAGGCAGTGAGAGATTTTACTTTCTTGGGCTCCATGATCACTGCAGATGGTGACAGCAGTCACGAAATTAAAAGACGCCTGCTCCTTGGGAGAAAGGCGATGGCAAACCTAGACAACATCTTAAAAAGCAGAGACATCACCTTGCCAACAAAGGTCCGTATAGTAAAAGCCATGGTTTTCCCAGTAGTGATGTATGGAAGTGAGAGCTGGACCATAAAGAAGGCTGATCGCTGAAGAATTGATGCTTTTGAACTGTGGTGCTGGAGGAGACTCTTGAGAGTCCCATGGACTGCAAGAAGATCAAACCTATCCATTCTTAAGGAAATCAGCCCTGAGTGCTCACTGGAAGGACAGATCGTGAAGCTGAGGCTCCAATACTTTGGCCACCTCATGAGAAGAGAAGACTCCCTGGAAAAGACCCTGATGTTGGGAAAGATTGAGGGCACAAGAAGAAGGGGACGACAGAGGACAAGATGGTTAGACAGCGTTCTCAAACCTACAAGCATGAGTCTGACCAAACTGCAGGAGGCAGTGGAAGATAGGAGTGCCGGATGTGCTCTGGTCCATGGGGTCAACGAAGAGTCGGACACAACTAAACGACTAAACAACAACAACAAAAGCATTATTCCTGGGACGTTATTACAGCCTCAGAGACCCTGCTTCCAAACAGCGACCCTTCATTCCTGCTGGGGATTAAATGTTGCTGCTGCTGCTATTTAAAACCTATAATACTGTAAAACATACACGCCATCTATTTTTAATAATATGACTGCCTAGTAAGTGTGCCTGTCCATGCTATTTTTCTTTCTCCAAAGGCTTTTAGGGCAAGTAGTGCAATAAATTACAGAGCATAAATAATCTATCATTATACAACCAATTCATAAATAACACATGGATTTTGACGTAAAAGACAGCATGGAATGTCTCACAAGGTAGTCTTTTTAAACTGTTGACAGCCGCAACAAAACTTTTAAAGTTTTTGATTCTTACTTTTGCAATATTTAGAAGCTTGTGTCATCGGCAGATGAAGTGAACGACAGGGAGGTGTGAAAAGAGATCACCCTAAGGCACTACCTGCATAGTATAATTTTAATTATTCCTTTGATACTGTAGTCTTCTACGTGAGATAATTGTTGTACACACAGGAAATGTGCTTAAGCTATGGGCACTTGCATATACCGAATTTTTCTGTGTATAAGACGATATATTTTCCTTAGAAATAATAGGCAAAAATTGTGGGTCATCTTATACACGGATAGCAGAGGGGGGACAGGCGGTTGGTGGCAGCAGCCAGAAGGAGATTGGCAGTGGTGATTGGGTGTGTGATTGGTTGCTACGGCAAGACCTGCTGCTGATTGGCTGTGGCTGCAGCAATTGGGTGGGTTATTTACGGCTGTGTCAAGGTGTGGGTGCAATCGGCTGTGGTTGCATCGAGTGTGCAGGTGGGCTTTTGGTGGCGAGCATGCTGACAATTGGTGGTCGTGGTGATAAGTGCAATTTGGTAATCCCCCCCCATTTTTTTTTATGTTGCAGTCCCAAAAAACAGGGGTCATCTTATATAGGGGGGCGTGTTATACACAGAAAACCACACACACAAACACACACACATATATACAGTGGTACCTCGGGTTAAGAACTTAATTCGTTCTGGAGGTCTGTTTGTAACCTGAAACTGTTCTTAACCTGAAGCACCACTTTAGCTAATGGGGCCTCCTGCTGCCGCTGCGCCGCTGCTGCACGATTTCTGTTCTCATCCTGAAGCAAAGTTCTTAACCCGAGGTACTATTTCTGGGTTAGCGGAGTCTGTAACCTGAAGCGTCTGTAACCTGAAGCGTCTGTAACCCGAGGTACCACTGTATAAACTTATAGTCCTCTCTAAAGGTTTTCTTGTGAAATTATAAGGCATGAATGATGAAAGCAGATCAAACATAAAAAGAGACAAAGGGAGACTCCAGCACAAAAATTCTCAATAGGAATTCATATGCAGATGTTATGGTAAGTGAAGGGGGGTAGTTCATGTAAGGAAAGTTCCCTTCCCTCCTGATTTTGGATGCTCCTGACCTGCCTCAGCAACACCCCTCCCTCCACAATGCTCCATCTCCATCTCACATAGAATCATAGAATCGGAAGGGACCATGAGGGTCATCTAGTCCAACCCCCTGCAATACAGGAATCTTTTCCCCAACTCTGGGCTCGAAGTCACGAACCTGAGATTAAGAGTCTCATGCTCTACTGACTGAGCTAACATAGTTCAATAGGGGCCCCAGATGCTTCAAAAAGGCTTTTCCAAAAGAGCAGGTGGCTGCAGAATAGAAGCGGCGAGTGGAAATTTTCCTTCTGGGAACTTCCAGGCCCATTTTTAGCATCCAAGCCTGTATCTATCAATCCATATCTGCCAGCTGTGGATAACACTTCTTCATCTGACAAAGTGGGTTCTGATCTACAAAAACTTAAAAATGAAAATTTTTAAGATGTCACAGGGCTCTGAATAATTTCAAGATATATTGGGGATAAATCAGAAGAACCGTATGTGTTCTAATGGAAATAAAGGTGTGCTTTACATAATATATTCATTGAATTGCTATGGATCTTTCTCTGCTTGGAAACAGAACTTACTGAAATTGGCTAGCTTCCCAATGCATGGATGTATCATGACATATTGCTCCTGGTACCATTTTCAGGTGTTTAAATACATAATTTCCTCTTCACCAATTTAATTTGTTAGAGATCATGGCAGCCTTTATTATTTTGTATTTTTAAATTATTCCCCTTTTAGTTGCATGCAGTTAAAGACAATTTTATTCTGTATTTTGCGTATTTAATTTCTTCAGCGTTCCAGCTCAGCATTAAATATCATTTTCTTTAATGCTCTTTGCATTGTGCAGTGATGGGATCTAGCCAAATTACCAGTTAGTTGCATTCAGCAATCAACAGTAGTCAATAGACTCTTTATTCTTTGAATCACTATTAAAGGTGCATAGATATTTTCAAGCAGAATGAACAAAATGAGGGTAATGTACCCTTATAAATGTATAAGGTGAGTTCTCCATGCTTTAGTTTACTGAAGAACCAATATAACTTTGAGCAGAAGTTAAAAAAAACTGGCCTGTTAATGGATAGACTTTGTCATGCTCCCCAGACTTCAAGCCCAGGGGAGGCAAAAGACAGGAAGGAATAATCTCTTGAAGAGTCACCATCCTCTACTCTGAGACTTTCCAGGTCAGAGGGTATTGCTTAAACAGGTTCCTCTGCTTCTTAAGACTCATTTCCAAGGCAGCTACTTTCATTTTCACTATTATTTATGCTGTTGTTGTTACTGTAGATTATCATTATCATTATCATTATATTTATTAATCACTCTTCAGTCACTTTGGGTCACTTGTTAACACAATGCTAAACAGTAAAACTAATTACAACAAGCAATAGAAACAAACAAACAAAACTATACAAACAAGACAGGCATCACAGATCTTGCCCCACTAAAAGGGGCCGCAAGTACCTAAAACCCTCCAAATTAGGGGCTGGATGAAAAGGAAAGCTTTTGCCTGGTTCCTAAAAATAAAGATTGTGCAAAGTGAGCCTTGCTGGAAAGAACATTCCACAAGCAGGGAGGCACCGCTAAAAAGACCTGCTTTTATGTTATCACCTTCTGGATCTCCCATGGAAGGAGCACACAGAGAAGGGTCTCGGAATACAATCATAGCAAACAGATTTTTTAACAAAAAGAGATGGTTGATTCCTTGAGGAATGTTGGTCCTGAGGTGCATGTGCCTTTATAGCATTTTAAATTGAGCCTGAAACTAACTGATAGCAGTTCAGTCATGCCAGAATTGGTGTTATCTGTTCGGACCATCCTGCCCTGGTCAACAATTTGGCTGCAGTTTCTGAACCATTTTCAAAGGCAGCCCCACATATAATACGTTTCGGTAAATTGCAGCATCATACATTGCAAGGCAACAATCCTTTAAGGCAGGGGTGGGGGAAAAGATGTTTATCTCTCCCTCCCTGAAGGGCCAACTATAAGGTAAGGTAAAGGACCTCTGGATGGTTAAGTCTAGTCAAATTTGACTATTGGGTGCGGTGCATATCTTGCTTTCAGGCCGAGGGAGCCAGCATTTGTTTGCAGACAGTGTTTCCAGGTCATGTTGCTAGGATGACTGAACCACTTTTAGGGCAATGGAACATGGTGATGGGAGCCAGAGCACACAGAAATGCCGTTTACTTCCCACCAGGCGGGTGATGCTGTGGTCTAAACCACTGAGCCTCTTGGGCTTGCCGCTCAGAAGGTCGGTGGTTCAAATCCCCATGACAGGGTAAGCTGGCGTTGCTCTGTCCCAGCTCCTGCCAACCTAGCAGTTCGAAAGGATGCCAGTGCAAGTAGATAAATAGGTACTGCTCTGGCGGGAAGGTAAGAGGCATTTCCTTGCGATCCGGCTTCCGTCACTGTGTCCCGTTGCATCAGAAGCAGTTTAGTCCTGGTGGCCACATGACCCAGAAAGCTGTCTGTGGACAAACGCCGGCTCCCTCGGCCTGAAAGCAAGATGAGGGCTGCAACCCCATAGTTGCCTTGGACTGGACTTAACCATCCAGGGATCCTTTACCTTTTTTTTTTTTTTTTAACCTTCCCACCGCAGCAGTACCTATATATCTACTGGCACTGATATGCTTTCAAACTGCTAGGTTGGCTGGAGCTGGGAGCTCAACCGGGTAGGACCACTCATTTGATAATAATGTGATTGGGGAAGGGTACTGCACAAGCAGGATTGAACTCCCCGCACATCAGCTAGTGCACAGCTAGTGGTGGTTCGAACCTGCTTTCTTTAGGGTTTAAGTGTACCGGTCAATTACATTTTATTTTATTTTTTGCACCAGCTTGTACTGATGACAGCATGCTATTTGATTCTTTTGAATTCCTGGCTTATTTAAAATGCTTATATGTTTAATAGGCACTAATTGGTATTCCTTGATAATGCTCTGCGTTTCAATTAATTAATAATTCGTTAGTTTCAGAAGTGTTTCATGACTTACATTTAATAACAATTTAATAGCTGCTTAATTTTACTGTGCTCGTTATCACTAATAGAAAAAGTGCTGTAATAGCTGTTGTCCATAGTTGTCTGGTAAAGATTACAGTAGGCAGTTGTCTGCGATAATGATACACATGCATACATAATTTTATCAGTATGCCGCCTTTCACCAATTAAAATCATGCTCAAGGAGGCTTACAACATGAAAAATAATACACAATTACAAACATAACAAAAGTAGTCATAAACAATAAAAACCCATCAAAAGTACACAAATTGAAGCAGTCCACATAAATCACAACTTCTAAAATAAAGATACAAAATAATAATAATTAATAATAATAATAATAATAATAATAATAATATCAATAACAGCGACAATCTGCCTGCCCTCAACAAAAATCCATAAACAATAGCCCAGTCCAACAGTCTGTTCAGCAGACTCAGCTTTTGCAGCTGGAGTCAGTCAGGGCTCTGTCCTTCCAGGCCAGGTGGGAAAAGGCCTGCAAGACAGGAAGCAGGTCTTCCAGGACTCACAGCCATGATGATACACAGAGCTTCATATTAAGGTATTCAACTTTTTTAAATTGTGTAATGGTACAAATGGTGGGAAAAGTTGAGCCCTATTTTAGTGTTATGTCTTAAATGGTTTACATTATGGAGAGGCATCTGTGTATGGATTTCAGGCTGTGAATACATTGTCTAAATTAATCAAACTTGAATATAAAAAGATTGTATCATTGCAATGCATTAGTACTGCTCAGGGCAACAAAATTGCCCACAAAAGTAAAACAACTGCATAAAAACAGCATATAAAAGCTTTCTAAAATGAGGGTATGCTATGGGGGAAAAACATATCCCAAGCAAGGCAATGGCTTGCCAGAACAGGATGGTCTTAACCAGCCAACAGAAAACAGAATGGGAGGGAACTAAGTGATCTCATGGGGTAAGTAGTGCACAATCTGGGACACTCTAGCACCATATCTCTCCAATAGATTTTAGGGACTGGCCACAGTAGGAGGCAGCCCTTCAGGTGTCCTCAATCCAAGCCATTTCAGGCCCTGAATATAATCTCACCAACGTTTAGAATGCTGCATTGTAACACGGTGCCCACCAAAATTCTTGCAGCTGCATTCTTGACCAACTGAAGTTTCCAAAAATTTCCTCAAAGTAGTTCTGTGCAGACAGCATCAAGGTAACCCAGTCCGGATGTAACTAAAATATGTGTAACTGTGGCTAGGTCTGATCTTCTCAGGAATGGGCACAGCTAGTGCACTGGCATGTACTGGGCAAAGGCAATCCTGGCCACAGGCAAAACTGGATCCAGGAAGGCCTCCAAACTTTTACAATGGAAGTGCTACCCCACCCAAAAGCAGCTGAATCCCTCTTTCTCCTGAGCAGTAACACCTCTGTCTGGATGAAGCTTCAGTTTATTAGCCTTCATCCAACCTAATTCTTCCTCTAGGTTGTGGGACTGCAATGTCTGTCATCCCTGGTCATTGGCCATTTTGGCTAGGGCTGATGGGAATTGGAGTCCACCAATGTCCAGAGAGTACCATGTTGGCTACTCCTGCAATACTACATTATAAACAAATGGAAACTTTTAATATATTGTGTTAATTTATGGTTAGGGGAGAGTGGATTTTTAAAAAAATTAGTGTTCTTTTGATGTTGATTTTATCTTGGGGTTTTTTATTTATTTCTACTCCCCTCTCCCAGCCAATATAGCTTTTTGGTCTAATCCGTTAAAAAAATTCTTAAAGCAGTAGAATCGCTGTAGAAATGAAACCGCAGACACTAACAACCAATCTGATCTGTAACCCATTTGCCTCATTCCCCTTAATTAGCTAGCTCCTGAGCATACAAACAAGACTCCCATTCCAGACCTCCAAGAAATATTGCCACTTTTAAAACAGGCCGTACATGATACAAAGTACTTTTTAAGGGCTGTGGGAATTAATTACACTTGCATCCTGTTGCATGGAAAGATAGCATGTGAATTTTCACTAAGTGGATTTTTGTTTTGATATTTTTGTCTTCCCTGTTGCTTTGATCCTTTTCTGCATTCAAGACCCATCTTTTCTCTACACAATTACCCTACTTCCATGGCTGCTTCTTGAGTTGTAACTAATCAGAGCCACAGAAAATTGCTTTATGAAAGCTACATGCGGACTTTTTATACTAATCAACCTAATTAGGCAAATTCTAATTTAAAACCACAGGTCTTATTGCT